GCGTTGGTGCGCCCTTGGCGGTGGATGCCTTAACGGCTGCTAAAATTAGACTCACTTTTGCCAAAGTATGCATCCAAGTGAATTGTTCCACCTCCCTTCTAGATGAGATTTTCATTTAAGTTGAAGGAAAAATCATCCTTCTCACTGTTCTTTACGATGACTGAAAGCCGACGCCATGCTCTTTCTTCAGTTCTATTTACCACGCCCCCCTCAATGCCCCCAAAACCCTTCCCCTCCTCCCCATATATTGCCTCCTCCCAGAGGCCGCAACACTAACCGTAAACCGCGCAAACCACTACCTCCCCCCCTCACTATACAGAAACCTCCTCCCCCTATCTCTACTCAACCCTCACTGCTTCCCAATCCCCAATCTCCCTTTATCCCAAATCTTAACTCCCCCTCTGAATGCTCCATTGAAAATCCCTTTCCTCCTCAAACATTGCCCCCTCCAACACTTCCTACCAACAAAAAATTTGCTTCCCTACTGGATATCTAGGAGGTCCCCTCTACCTCCTCGTTCCCACCTTAGGAACATACCTCTACTGCTCTTCCTACAAGAAAATCCTCTATCCCACCCGAATCCACAACTGTCACCCCTTCGAGTAGCTCCTCTGCCAGACCTCTTTCCTCAGAGAAATCTCCTCTCATCACTGAAAACTTCCAAGTTCCACCTATATTATCATCCCACAGTCTTAATACTAGTAATAGCAATAGTAATGATACACGACAAGACCAACCTGCCTCTAAACAAACCTCCAAGAACAGAAGAAATTGGAATGCCAAAAAGGTTTCCAACAACCAGAACAAATCTAAATGATCCTTCTTAGAATGGCTTCCTGGAACATCAGGGGTTTTAACAACCAATCCAAAGTCTAGTCTAGTAAAGCCCTTGTTTGAAAATACAATCTAGATCTCCTCTTTATCCTGGAAGCCAAAATCTCTTCTCTCTCTTTAACCGATAATTGGTTCTCCTCCCATTTGGTTTTCTCTCACGAACAATCCCACAAAAACTTCTCCCTATCTAACCCCGGTCGCATCTGGATAAAATGAAATGCTAAAAAGGTCTCCTTCAGACCTCTACTCACCACCACCCAACTCATCCATGGTCTTATCCAAATTAACAATGCTGATGTTTGCTACATTACTACGGTTTATGCCTCCAACTCTGTTTCTGAGAGACAATTGCTTTGGAATCATCTCTCCAATATTGCTGAGGATATTGCTTTGTGGTGGGCAATACTTGTTGATTTCAACTGCTACAGTTTTGAATATGAAAAGGCGGGAGGCAACCAGATCCCTCTCAGTAAGCTTAGTGAATTGAATAATTTCATCTTTAAAATTGGTGTTTTTGATTTGGCATCAGTGGGGCATTTATACACTTGGTATAATAAAAGGTTTGAAAACCAAATCCATATAAAGCTGGACATAATCCTTACTAATGATGCCTGGTTGAGCAGTTATTCTAACACCTTCTACACTATTGGGGACCTGGGCATCTCTGATCACAGCCCAATCATTCTTCAAGCTGACAACTTTCCAAATCATAAACACCACTTCATTTACAAAAACTATTGGCACAAGATTCCTAATTTTTGGGAGGATATTATCCAGGTTTTTTCTCAACCTGCTTCTGCTAGTCCCATTTGTGACCTATACCAAAAACTAAAAGCATTGGAACAGTGTATCAAACATAGAAATTGGAACTCTTCTAATAAGCTTAAAGATGAAGTTGAGGCTCTCTCTTTAGCCCAAAATACCTGCTTGCTCAAATCCAGGAGTATCACCTAAGCACATCTCTCAATGCTGGGCTTAAAACTATTACCCTCCAACTTTCCTCTGCTCAAGCTTGCTAGTTTAACTGGATCTCACAAAGAGGCAAAGCTAAATGGTTATCATCGGGTGAGGATAATCTGAAGTTCCTCTACTCTAAGATCAAATACATAAACAATATCAATCAGATCATATCCATTCTTGCTAAAAGGAACTTGCACACTGAAAGAACTGAGATTTGCAATGCTTTTATCAATCACTTCACTAAACTTTTCAATGCCCCCACTCAACTCCACCCGCCTACTGAACCCATTTCTCCTAGGAACACCATCCCACCTACCCTTATTGCTGAATTGATTAACCCTGTTACTATGGATGAAATTAAGCAAGTAGTTTTCTCTACTCCTGCGAATGCTTCTCTAGGCCCCAATGGTTATACTTTTGAATTCTTCAAAGTTACCTGGAATGTTATTAGCAAAACAAGTCTGTGATGCTGTATTATCCTTCTTTACCTCATCTTCTCTTCCTAGACAAGCCAATAATACTGCTATTGCCCTTATCCCAAAAAAGCTCCACTCCTCCACTGTCACTGACTACAGACCAATCTCTTTATATAACTCCTTTTATAAAATCATTGCTAAGATTTTGGCTAATAGGATGAAAAGTGTTATGTCATTTATTGTCCATCCTAGCCAAACTGGTTTTATTAAAGGCCGTATTATCTCTGATAACATCATTTTTGCTACTAAATTGCTTGCCAACTTCAACCGGAAAGCCAATAACAAATATTTTTGTGCTAAATTTGACATCCATAAAGCATTTGACACAATCTCTAGGCAATTCCCGCTTAACCGTCTTCGTGACAAAGGTTTTCATGATAAGTTCGTCTCTTGGATTAAATCGTGCATCTCAGACGTTCATTTTTTGTGGCTATCAATGGCTCACTGGAGGGGTACTTTTACTCTTTAACCGGCTTAAGGAAAGGCTGCCCACTCTCCCCGCACCTATTTTCCATAGTGATGGATGGTCTCTCTTCCTGTTTTGAAGAAGTTGTGGCTAAGAACGAATTTTTGGGTATTTCTACTGGTAACACCACTATAACCCATATATTATATGCCGACAATCTTCTTGTTTTTGCAAAGTCTGATCAAGATAATGCCAGGAGGCTCAATATCATTCTCCAAAGTTTTGTTATTATGTTGGGCCTCTATACCAACCCCACAAAAAGCACCATCATTTTCTCCAAAAATTCTATGCCACATTCTGACATCTGTAATGCCCTGAACATCCAACAAACTACACAGCCTATAAAATACATTGGCCTTCCAATCTTCTGGAAAAAACTTGCCCAGGCTGATTACCAACCCTTATCTTGAATATCACTAAAGCATTGGAGGACTGGAAAGCCAAAACCCTCTCTTTTGCTGGCAGAATTCAATACCTCTGTTACACCATTTTTAGCACTCTTGCTTACTAGATTAGAGGAACTTATATTCCTAAAGCCTACTTCAAAACTATCACTAAAATTTGCTTTAGATTTCTTTTTACCTGGAATATTGCTGAAAGAAAGCTTCACGAGATAGCTTGGAAAGACATGTCTTCCCAAAAACAAAGGTGGATTGGGGCTCCCCTCTATTGACTCTTTATGCTTTGGCTTTAGCTGTTCTCTTATCTTGAGATTCCTCAATACTGATAATCCTCTGTTTGACTAGTGGAGGAATATTTATCTCTCATTTTGATGCCCCCCTCCTAAACAGTGCTCTAGCTATTGGAAAAATCTTTGTGCTGTTGCTCAAAACATAAAACACTGTCTCATAATAAAAACCCACTCTCACAGCAAACTTTCTCTTCTATGGGATCCTTGGTGTAATGTCAGCTCACTCATGGAAAAAATGGCTTATATGGCTGACCCCCCTAGACTTGAGAGCTATAATCACTAGTCGGTTTGTGACATTATTAGCAATGCTAATTTGGTTATCCCAAGTTTTCTCCCCCCTATATCACTAATGCTATTAACATGGAGACTATTCAGAGCTCGTGTACTGGCATTCTCTAGTTAAATTCAAACAAAGTCACTTTAAGAGGCTTCAAAAAACATTATTTTGATAGTCACCAATCGATCAACTGGCATAAATTTTCTGGCATAAACACTTTACATTAAGATACTCTTCCTATGCTTGGCTGGCTTTTAAATGTGGCCTTAAAACAGTTGACCAGTTGTCCCGTCGTGGTATCCATATGAATGCCACCTGTATTTTTTGTGCTATGAAACCTAAAACGCACTCACATATCTTCTTTGAATGTGATTTTTCTTATGGGATTCTCCTTTCACTTATTCCCCAATTCCATTCATTGCTGCTCAGACCCAACATTGCTGAGACCTACAGCTTTATCGAGGACTATATTGATAATAGAGATTACCACAATTTATATATCCTTTTAATTAATGCTGGTATCTATTACATTTGGCGTGCTCGTAATGACAGAGTTTTTGGTAACAACTATGAATGTCAAACTACTGTGGCCAGGAAATTAAAAAAGCAATTCTTTACAAACTAGAAAATTGGGCAAACACTCATTCCCTTAGGCACCTGATTGCCCGAGCTGCTTTATTTGGAAATTCTGGATGGTGTTTGAATTTTATTTTGACCTATGTTCTTCTGCTGGTTTGCCCGACCTGGCTGTGCTCGTGCTAGTTGTCCGCAAGTGGTTTTGGTTTTTGCTCTTCGATGGTCTTCTTGGCAATCAGGATTATCGTTGCTGCTCATGTACGTACATTTCTGGACGTGTTTTTGCTGGACAATGATGACTGCTGCAGCTCCTCATTCCCCTTGGATGGTCTTCTCGGCAATTAGGGGAACTCTGATCATCTTTGATGAATTTTGACGGTTTTGACGGTTCTGCATCTTCCTGCAGCCTGAGTCCTTGGTTTTTTTGTCATTACTCTATTTTGGGTTTCATTTTTATTGTGTATTTTGAGTGTTTTTTTCTTCTAGCTTTTGGTGGGGGTCCTTCCTTTTTTGTGATTTTTCTTTACATTTAGCAATATATGGGCTTCTGCCCCCAATTTACAAAAAAAAAAAAGAAGAAGCTGATTTAATTAATATTAAATACTAACACTCTCCGTAGACAAAACAAGATGAAAAACTAAAAATAAGAAGTTTTGACCCAAAGAAATGTTGGAACAAATGTAAAAAAAAAAAAAAAAAAAAAAAGGGAAATTTCGCTTGCTTTTCAACTTATTTTGCTATTTTTTCCTCCGTCTCTTGACTCTGTCCTCTCAAAACCAGAACCAGAAGAGAGTTCCCTGTCGCCCTTGCTGACTTTGAGGACGTTCCCGTTCAATAGAGACGCCGCCGCCGACGATGAACGGCGGGCCTTCGGGCTTTCGTACTCTCTCTTCTCTCGCTGCCTCTGTCTCTTTCTCTGTGTTTCGGATGCTTCGCTTCGGTTATCCGTGTTGAAATCCCTGTTTTTGTATCTTTCGATGAATTTTTTATTTTTATTTTTTCTTCTTATTGCAGAGAATGCCCCGGTAACCAGGAATCTTGTGATTTTTTGCGCTTTCCTCACAGTATTATTCGTGGCTCGAGGCCGTTCTACTAGTCTTGGATTCTCCTACCAGGTATCCTGTTTCATCTGTCTTCTTCCTTCCGACGGTTCTCGGTTACCAGTTAATTTATCAAATTATGTAACGTGTACAATTTTTTTTATTAATTGCTTTTTATTTTGGCTTCCAAGTTCTACTCTCGTAATATTAAGCAGTTCTTCAAAACAAAAATTGTGAAATTTCATCGAAGATTGTGATTGCTGTCCTTCGAACAATATATGCATAGGTTGGCTAGATCTGCGAGGGATGCATTTGCAATTTTTATTAAATTCTACGTGCACACCTAACATATTTATGAAAAACTGCTGTCTTAGAGAGCATCGTATGATTGATGGTTGTATTCATCAGATCTGAATTTAGCTTAGAAAGTTAGAATAGAAATTGAGAATGGTGTTTAGAGAGCTGTTAAGCGTAGCCTCATATCTCGCTGTTGGGGTGAGGCTTTTTGCTAAGTCAGATAGCCCTTATCTTCATTTTGGAGTAGCATCGATGCATTGAATTAAATTCCGGTGAGATACTGACTCCATGGATTTTGGCAAAGCACTTGCGAAGTTAAAGTTTATGGAAAGGTGCAGGTATTTCAGGAAGAGATTTTTGAGAACTAAAAAGAAGAGTGGAATTTGGTGGAAAAGGGGATTTGAGTAGCATAATATCTGGTCTCTAGGAGAGATAAAGAAGGGGGTGAGAGAGAATGTCATCTCATGATTGAAAAATATGGTATGTAGATAATAAAATCATGTGCATTTTGTCTAAATCTGCAAGCGTTTGCATTGCATTGATATTTTTGCCAAGTTTGATAAGATGATTGGAAAGCCTAGGCTTCCAAATCCTCTTTAGATTGGCCTTTGAATAGGGTGTTGTATAGAGGATCTCTTTGGGAGGGGTGTTGGTCATAATCTAAACCCAACTTGTGATACAAGGGAGGCTGAGGATAACAATGAGTGAGTTGTTGATCATTATAGTCCAAAAAAAATAAAAATAAAGAAATGCTAGCTGGAATCCCAACGATGCGCATGTGATGCTAAAGTTTGTGGGCAGGTGGGTGTACAAGCTGGTTGTGAGATTTTTTTAGAGCAAAAAAGGGATGTAGTTGTTGGTACAAAAAATTGAGTAGCACTCTCTCTAGTCTCTAGGAGAGTGAGATTTGATTGTATTTTGGAATTAAAATCTATTGATTGATGCACGTTGTCTCAATTTGAAATTTTATGCATTGCATTGATATTTTTGTCAAGTTTGATGAGAATGTTTGGAGATGTGGGCTTACAAATATTCCCAATATGGGCCTTCAAATGGTTATGTTGGTGAGCATATTTTTTTTTTTTGAGGTTTATTGATCATATGATCTAAAATTTTCCTATGAACCAAGAATGGAACTCAACCATGACCAACCTCACTAAAATAAGACAAGAAAGATTTCTCCCGGATCTTTTTTGATGTTTATGTTTGTTGGGAGACTAGTGCAGGGATTTGAGGAACACATTTCTTAAAAGCGCTTTGGCCTTTTTACTAGAGGTTATGCTTTAATTAATATTTTAGAAGACTTATGATTGGGTACTAAAATAATTGATTTTATGCAACTTGAAAAAAAAAAAGTTGTGTATGCATTCATATGATTTTTATTATCTTGATCTAACTAATGTACCCAAGTTGGGCATACAAATAAGTGCATTTGATAGCATATATTTGAAGGTTGTTATCAATTTATTACCATTATTATTAGCCTTATCTAATCTAATTGATGAAATTGATGACGGATGAAATTGATGATGGATTTATTAATTCTCATTTTCTATTCGTTTTTGTTTTGTGTTGCATGAGATGCTAAATCTATAATGTACACATATTTTGGCACAATTTCTATCCATGTTACCCTTAGCCTACCAATTCTAAATGCTAATTTTATCTATTCATTTTATGGGATGATTTTCTATTATTTGTTGTACATGTCTACACCACTCAAGTCTATTCTCCATTATCTTTTCTTCTATAGGTTCTACTCACAATGCCCCTCTAATATAACCATATTAATCTTTCTTTTCTTGTTCTATCATAAATCAATCTTAACATTCTAATTTTTATCGTGTTCAACTTGGTCATCAATGACATTTTTACTATCAATCACTTGACATCATACAACATAGCCTATCTAATAATGTTTTCTTAAAGTGTAATTTAGGTTTTCATGCTATTCTCTTATCTCATAATATTTTTGAAGTTCATCTTTATTTTTGCCACCCAACTTTAACTCTAGAAGTTATATGTTCTACCATTATTATATTATATATATATATATATATATATATGATATATATATATATATATATATATATATATATATATATATATATATATATATATAATATATATATATAGATCCTAGATAATTAAACTTGTTGCATCATTGCACCCCTTTGTCTTCAAATAATATTTATTGATAATTGTTAATATCATAAACAAAAATAGTATATCATACGCTTTATCTATGTTCTACTAATCTTAAGTCCGTTCATCTTGTAAACATTTTATATAATATTTTAACTTTTCACTTATTTTATCATATGACTCACCAATAAGAATGTAATTGTCATTTGTGAAAAACACACATGATAGAGTTTCTCTTGAAGATCCTTTGTAAGAATCTCCTTCACCAATACAGAAGAGCAAAACTTAATGCTCATTCTTCTTATTGTAACTAGGAACTTTTTGGTCACTCCAAAATTATTTCTAATATTAGTCAATGGTCATTCTTACGTATTTTTAATAACTTCAACATACTGTTGTCAACATTTAAAAATTTATAAATAATAATTTATTATTCCTTGTTGTCTTCATCTTTAATTAAGATCATGTTATCTTTTCTTTTAATGCATCCAACTTGATCAAAATTTTTAGATCAAATAAAATAAATAAATAAATATAATATATATATATATATATATGTATTTAGATCTCTTAACTTGGCCACTTCATATATCTTTTATTTCTTAACTTGGCCATTTCATATATCTTTTATTTTCTTTGGTAGCTAGTTTATTTAATAAATCTTTAAAAGCTGCTCTTTGCAGACCTATAACTTCATTTTAATTATTATAAATCTCAACAATATTCATCTTTTATTATTTTTTAAAAGCATATTTCTTTTCCTTATAATCCTTTATATCTCCTTACTCCACTATCAAGTTTTTTGAACATTTTATTTTTGGAATTCCTTAAAAATCGTCTGAAAATTTTCTTTATAGAATTAGCCATCTTATCTCCATTAAATTTAAGAGATTTAAAATTATATTTTTTCTTTTGTAATGTTTGAAGTCTCCTCACTCCACTATCAAGTTTCCTGAATAATTTATTTCTACACACCCTTAAAACATCTATGGCAATCTTGTGAATGGAACTAGCTATCTTTTCTCATATAAGATTTTAGGCATTTTTTTACAACTCAATAATGGGGATGAATTGTGTTTATTAGCATAAGAATTATCTCTAGAATCAGCTAGTAGTGCATGGTTATTGAGTTGTAACTGTCACATTATATTGATTCTTTTACTATATAGAGCGGGGTTCTTTATTGACAAAGATTAAACCATAATTCCCCTTCTACTATTGTATATATATAAGGTTAGTCTAACCTAGGTCTCATTCCCCTGCCTTTCGCTGGAATTGTCACACCCTATTTGCATTTGCACGCCGATGTTGCCAGCCATTGCCTAACGTTGATGCTCACCTAATATCATTGTACTCACTCATGCTAATGCTATTACTACTGCTTGATCACTTCTTATATCAATCATTCTTTATTCTTAGTGATTTGAGTTAACTCTTGGATTCTATGACTATTTTTCACACAATATTATGACATCTCCACCTCTCAATAATTTGAAACCCTCCTTCACCATTGTATTATTACCAAGTTCAACGGTATAAATTCTCTCTTACGGTTGGGGGCCTTTTGCTTCATTGTTAGTTTTGACTTTTGACGACAAGCATCTTGATGTTTATCCTCTAGATTTCCATCACATCAGGTTTGCAAAATGGCAAGCATTTAACTACGTTTAATAGCAGTCTTAAATCCTCAATTGCCTTTACTATCATGTTTCAAGACTTTGCCAAGGCTATATATGATTTTTTCATTTCTACCTATTTCAGGAAAATGATATCTTTCATATTTACCTTCTGTATTATGAGACCTTTCCTCTTTATTCAAAATCAGGAATATTATAGCAAATTGAGAGAAAAATGTGGTATGTTACTTTAATATGTTCCATTCAGTAAAGATCTTACTGTCTAATATAATCAAAATGAAGAATTTCTTACTGCTAAATTTATCTATTGCCTTGCATAATTTCCATGCAACATGTACAATCTCAATTAATGCTAGACTCCACGGTTCCTAACATTGAATATCTCTTCCGATTTTGTAATCGTTGGGCTCTCAACTTCTCAACCTCTTACTCTTGAGTTGTTATCTTTGGTCGTTGGCTAGAGGATTGGTCAGGGTAGTCATGAACTCAATGTTTGTTATAGGATTTGATGACCAAATTGCACACAACAATATTAAAAACAACAAACTTACTTCAAATAGATCCATAAATAGCTCCAAGGGGGTTATAATTACTAATCTCCAAGCAAGGAAAAACAATATACAAGTTGATTCACTGTTCGAGAGATGAATTGTCTCTCCCACAATTCGTAGCAGCTACTAGGAATAAAAAAAACTCCCACAATTAAAATTCAAACATAAACCCTAACCCCACAATCTCTTCTCGTAAATGGCCCAAAATCCTCTAATAAATACCTCTTACATATTTCCCAAAGGGTTCCCCCCAAAGCCTCTTCTCCTATAGGTGATTGGGGAGGTCATGGGCCCCACCTGGGTACTTGTGCTACTACCCACCTTGGCATCCCTTAACGAGGATCCATTGGAGGACAAGTCTAGTGCCAGCAGCTGCGGTAATTCCAGCTCCAATACTGTATATTTAAGTTGTTGCAGTTAAAAAGCTCATCGTTGTACTTTGGGT